GTTTTCAACCTCAGCTTTTCAACCTTAGCATACTTAGCTTTGTTGCTACTTTGATCGATGAGTGCCCTTGTGCTGGCGATGTCTATAAGCCGCGTTTTTTTAGGGTGAGCTGTTGCTTTGTTGTTGCCGGACAGTGGACGCGCTCAAAACAGATTTAACGCCTCTGGCTCAGACCGCCGACATTGCAGGCCTGTTCCCCCCCGCTGAGGTCTATTCCCTTTTCCCCCCGCAGATCCTCCTTTTCTCCCCCGAAGATCTTTTTCCCTCTTTCCCCCCCTAAGATCCTATCCCCCGTTCCCCCCTTTCCCTCCCTAAGATCATTCCCCCCTTTTCCCTTGAAGATCTTTGACATTTTGAGGGGGGGAGAGGGGGGGAAAGATCTTAGGGGGGGAAATGGGGGACAATATTTTAGGGGGGGAAGGGGGGAAAGGGGGAACAGATCCGGGGAAGGGGGTGGAAAAGATCTGTCGCCGGATTTCATCTTCCGCATTTCGGGCCAAACGAAACTTATCTCGGGCGCCAGGACCCGAGGTACCTGGCGGTGGCGGCCAAGGAGCTCCTGGTGGATGCGCGGCACTTCGCCCTGCGCCCAAGAGGGACGGGAGCCGTTTTTTCTTCGCTGTTGGTTTTTTTTATTGGCCCAAGGTGAGGTCTTTTTCCAGGTAATGTTAGGGGGAATATAGGGAAGCCGGCCCCAAAAGCTTGGTTGGTGTGGGGCCGAAGGTGAGTTTCGCGGGTGATGCTGGTTGCTTCCCCCTCACTATAAATACCTTTTTTAATATATATTCGCTCCGGGCCAAACGATATTTATTAGTGGGGGTCAGAAGGGCTCCACACTCATCCTTGAAGCAGACCCAACTTGTGACTTTGTAAATAGGGCGTAGTACAAACTTTGAAAGGGAACAGCTCTTTGTTTCCTCAATTGGCTGCAGTACAACCTTTGAAGTTGAAAGAAGGACCCCGGTTGCGTCAATTCTGGTCAGTATGGAGCTTGGGTTCTGATAAGACGTCAGCCAGTTTAGTATTGCTCTAGAGATAAAAGTGGTTTTGGGGATCTGGGTGTCTGAAAAAACGGATAGGGTGTATTTGTTGATTGGGGGACCACCAAAAGCTTACCACCAAAAACTTACCACCAATAGGTTACCACCAAACACTTATCACCAGAAGTTTATTACCAAAAGCTTACAACCAAAAACTTACCGCCAAACACTTACCACCAGAAGCTTACCACCAACAACTTGCCACCAAAAGCTTACCACCAACAGGTTTACCACCAGCAGGTTTACCACGAACAGGTTTACCGCCAAAAGCTTACCACCAAAAACTTGCCACCAAAAGCTTACCACCAAAAGCTTACCACCAAAAGCTTACCACCAAAAGCATACCAAAACTTACCACCAAACGTTTATCATTAAAAGGTTAAAATGAAAAGCATATCACCAAAAGCTTACCACCAAAAGCTTACCACCAAAAGCTTACCACCAAAAGCTTACCACCAAAAGCTTACCGCCAAAAACTTCCAACAGGTTTAGCACCAGCAGGTTTACCACCAAAAGCGTACCACCAAAAGCTTGCCGCCAAACAATTAAAACAATAGCTTACCGCCAAAAAATAATTCCAAAAGCTTACCACCAAGAGCTTACCACTACGGCTTTTTTCCTCTTGACCACCACCCAAGAAGGGTGTTTCGCTGACTTCCCAACGCCCAGACCCGGCGAGGGCGGAACCAACTTAGGCCATGGCCACCCTGGACGACTTTGCCGAGGCAACGGGCACGCGGGTCCAGGTGACAGGAACGCGGGCGGTTTTTGTTGGTAGGTCGACCTTCTTTCCATGGGTTGATTCGTCATTGAGGTCATTTTGGCAAGCGCTTCCAATCATTTGTCAATGCTAGCTAATTCTCCCACAAGTCTAGGACTTGATCTCCCAGTCTTTTCAACCATCGTTCTTTCCAAAAACCGGGCCAGCTTTCCTCGGTTTCCGGAGGTTTTCTAGAAAGAAGGATCCCTGGAAAGAATGGGGAAGGTGTCAATAGATTCTTGGGTCGGAACGCCAAAGAAATTTGACCTCCGGCTGGGCAAGAAACGGGAGAAGCCCAAAGAAAGATAATTGTAAGGTTCTTTCTCTCAAGGATGGATGCTTGAATGGAGCTTGTTCACGAGCGCGGCCGAGGCACGGGAGCCGCGGAGGAGCTGTGAGGCCATTCACTGGTCCGAGCCTCGGGCGTGGTCTGTGCTGACATTGAGGGCCCCTTTCAAGGTGTTGCGCATGTTGAGGAAGAGGGCCCACAGCAGCCTCGTGTATGACTTGGTTTTGCGGAAATCGGCAGTCGGCCTTCGCAGCATGCTGCGGTTTCTGCAGGATTCCCAGTCGGCTACAGGGGCTGCGTTTGCTCACGGCATTGCAGGCAAACGCATTGTTCATGCGCAATAAAGTGCCTGGAAATCGCATCTTGAAAGGTCACATCGGGCATTGCACAGATACAGAGCCGCATCTTGACCCAGGGCCAACATGTCTAAGACATGGACAACCTTTGCAACGCAGAGGTGTGCGTATCCTGCAGAACGGCATGCCAGAGCGTGCCCCGCAGCTTGATGGCGCAGCCGGTGGCGGGGCGCCCTGCTGATGAGATTGACACGCCTCTTCTGCCTCCTTCTGACTGAGGCATGACAATTTCAATGGGCCCAACGGTGTCCTATTGCGACCCATCACGACCTATCAAAGTGCTTGACTTGAGCGGAGCCCAAACATGCAAAAATCTTTGTGCTTGTGGGCTTTCGCTCAAACATAGTAAGCGTTGCTCGCTGAGCTTGCTGAAGTAGAAAAGCGCCCACGTGGAAGGCGGAGTTGTGCGTGTTGGGGCGGAGGATGTATCCCACGCAGCAGCATAGTGCGCAATGAAATGAGGGACCTTTATCTTGGTCAGCGCCGCTCACTTGTGCTCCCGGCTTGTGGGGGTTGTGGACCTTTACTCTAGGCCCTAGGCTTGGCAGCACAGTGTGCGCAGCTGCCCGTGGTAGCAGGCAGTCGGCTTTGCAGCAAGCTGTTTGCTACGGCTTCCGAAAGATTTGTTTTGTTGTTCAAGATTGGGCAGCGGAACCCTTGACATTTGGCAGTTACCGCCTGCTGGCTTTGCAGCTTTTCACGCCGAACCACAAGCGGACATCGCAAGTTTGCCAAGTGGACCCAAGCAGAAGTCTTTCGACGAGGATGCAAGATTTACAGCTCGAGCTGTCTCACTAGCCGTTTCCACTTGCGTGAAAGGACTTGGAGACGGAAGGCTCTCCTGCAGCGCTACCGAAGCACGCGCCACCCAGGCGCTTGAGCTTGCCATGGTGAAATCAGTTCCATTCAGACAGCAGTCTGAAACCTGTTGGAAAGCCCCGGGCTTTGGAACTTGGCAGTGAAGCAGGGGTGTTGCGAGCCTTTCAAGGAGCGAAACACCAGGGGCTTGGGCTGCAAAACGAGATCTTCAGGCATTCAACGACAACGTGCGTCTGCGTTCAGTCACACGCAGCAGCCATATAAACACTAGGGCGGATCTTTCGTTTGATGTCCTTTTGTCGGAGAAAAACCAATGGGGCGCGCAGTCTGGAGCAGTCTCCGCAGCTTGCGTTGAACTGTGGCGTGGACGAAGTGTGGAAGCTCATTCTGCCAGAGACTTGCCCGTCCTTGTTTCAACTGGGAGGGAAACATGGTTTAGCTTGCAGCATTGTTCTTTTCCGCAAGGCAGTGTTTAGGCACCATAGGAGCCAAGGCACGCTATGCAAAACATTGAGATTTCGCGGGGGCGAACAAGTGCGCGTTTTTGGCCTCAGAAACAGGGGCCGCAACACATGTACAAAAATGTAGAAGCCCTTGCGCGTTCGTGCTGTTCTTGTCTCGCAGGCCTGCTTCAGACAATGATGCCCTTGTGGCAGCAAGCCAGGAGAAGGGCTGCATCCGAGCAGTTTGCGACTAACGTCCCGCAAGCTGAGCACTGTCAGGTTTGCCAACGCCAGTGGCATCAAGGGAGTGTTTGGCAAAGCTGGAAGGCGCTTGGGTGGAGATTGCGCAGAAGTCATTCGAGTAGCGATCAAACATTTTCAAGGAACTCTTTTTCGGGGCGGTGCCAAAATGGGATTCCGCGGAAGGATTTGGCAGAGCGCGGAAGCTCGAGGAAGCTTCCGCGGAGCATAGTGCAAAGTCTGCTTTCGCGGAATGCCGCCGAAACTCTGATCTTGTTGGCTTGTGTTGCGCGTTGCAAAGAAGCAGCTGCCAGCAGGCATTGATTTTCTCAGAAAAGTGGCTTTCATGCATGCAAGCGGGTACGCGCTCTTGTTCTTAGTGTTAATTACACACAATGCGAGTAGCTACGACCCCAACAAGCCCATCAAACGTAAGCCTTGCATTTTGGTCACTGCTCGTTCAATCTACACGGCACAGACTTAGAAGTGTCATGGCTGACCGTTTCGGAAAACCATGCAGGCGCCGACCGTGCTGAATGCCGAGCTCCCGGTTTGGCGCTGGCTTTGCAAAATTTATCACCGCGCAAGCCTGCCTCACGCGCAACGCAGCAGTAATACTGGGTAGAACCCTTCCTGAAGACAACTGCCCTGCATCCTTTCTGTAATGTAATGCGGTCAGGGTCTGTGACGACAACGTTGCTTGAGATTGTCATGGTGAACTCTGGGCTTGGAAAGCCCTGAGCAGTCAAGTAGGGGTGTTGCGAGCCTTTCAGGGCTCAGCAAAACACAAGGGTGCCCCCGGTTGCCACTTTAGTTTACCCTTTGTCAGGTCAGCCTGCCGGCTGCTGCAAATAGACAAATAGATGCAGCTCCTTCGCATAAACATGCAGATTGCCTAGCAACATGCTCAACATGCCAGCTTAGCCTTCAGCTATTCTAGAACTGCCCTGCCTCGCGGAAGTGCCCCGCAAAACCTCCCCGCAGAGCTTGGAACAGAAAGCCAGTGCCGACTTTGCAAGCTCCGCAGTGTCTTGAGTGTCTTGGCCTTTACTCTCCCTGCTTGCGCGGAAGCAGCACTGTGCGCTGTAAACCGATCTCGTGTTCCCTGAAGCCTCGCTTCCAGGTGTCCAGAGCTTTAGGAACAAGCGCCAGCCGGCTGGTTGAGATTCTGACGCGCTTGCGAGAAAGGGTGCAAAGCAGGTTGACTTGGTCGCACCCTTGGCCATGACCAAGCCCGGGACTCTGACCACCTCTCCTTGCCTCGGCTGCAAAGCTTCGGGCGGTACCGATGAAAGAGGTCGCTTGACATGCGTTAGCGGGAGGCCATGGTGCAGTCCATGGGGGCAAAAGCGTAAGCATGTGCAGGCCGCTGGTTGGCGCCCAAAAGTGCTCGTACCACCAAAAAACCGCACGTTTTATGTCCACTGTTTCTTGCAACTTGCAATCAATTGTTACACTGTTACACGTTTCGCATTTGCGCTCGTTTTGCGGGTATGTTTTTGCTAGAACACCGCGCAACGGACTATACAAGAAGGAGAAGGCGCCGTAACAGCAAAAATTGCTCGAAGCAAAATTTACGCCCAATCCCCTGCAAAACGCGATATGAGGCGGCTCAGCACAGCCCAGCTCAGGTGGTGGGGATTCACCAAAAGAAGAGCCTCTTCCTACACGTCGAAAACCTCCTGAATGCTCAAAGTGCTTTCAAATTCAGCAAGGGGACACCTAAGGATCCGAGTCTTCTAAGGAGGTACTTTAACCCTCTTAACCCCACGCCATTTTGTGGGGCTAACCCTGATCCCAGAAAATCCAGGTACCAGTATAGCAGGTACTCAGGACTCTTACCTCTGGACTTTGCATGATGGATTTTTCTGGTTACTAAAGAACAAGTTGACCTGAACCCTGAACTGAGCACCATTCTTGTCAGAGAGTGGTGCTGCAAACTGTTCCGTTCCATCAGCCTTGCTTGAGCCCTAACAAACATCTCACCCTAGCAGGTGACCGCCTCCTTGCACTGCAAAGTAAGGGCTAGAGGTGACGAGCTTGAAAGGAAACATGTGGTCATTGGAATTTCTCCCTTCTGAAGCTCCCAAATCCTTGTGAAGCATCACGGATAGGCAAGCTTCGGTGGGCATTTTGTCTGGACAGTCATAACTTTGATTCATCTTTCAAGCTAAGTCCGTAGTAGGACAACTGGAACTAAAGATTTGCATTGCTCAGGCCGAGCAACTTGCTGCAGTTTTGCGCCCAAAGCGTTTCAGGGACTGAGAACAGCAACTCCAAGTTTGTGGTGCTCAGCCCGAGCACTCGATATTTCTGGCACACTTGCCTAACATGATGGGCCCTCCTGCCCTGAATGTGTTTCCGGCCCTAGCAAGCAACAGGCTCAGAACCGGCTGCTCTCGCATGGCAGGGCACTTTGCGCTAGCACTTTTTTTCCGAGTGGTTTTGTGTGAGCCAAAACCGCTCCTGGCCTGCCGACATGACGATGCATTGTGCTCCGCCTTTTTGAGACTGCGCTCGCGTGACAGATCGCTGCTTGCCCACAGATGCCCCATTGTTTCGTGTGCTAGCAAGGCGGATGGGCTTCTTCCCTTTTCGTCAGCCCGGCCTAGAACAGCGGGCAGCGCAGAAACCAGAATCTGACTCGTGCAGGAGTCCGGGCACGACTTGACAGCCTGTGAGTGACAACGCACGTGATTTGACCCGATGTCGTGGCTGGTGGGACATCGGGCCATTCTTGGCCCAATACTTCACTACTTGTTTGGAAAGAGCCAAAGAGCTGCTTTCGGACACAGACATTCAGTCCAGTCCGGCGAGCCCAAAGTGAGAAGAAAGATGCTTGTCAGAATCAAGTCTGCGTTTGTTAGATGGCGGCTTTGTAGGTTTACTTTGTTGGCGGAATACACTGTCAGAACGCATGCAAACATGGGGCAACTGGAATTGCGCATGTCACTTGGTGCTATTGAGCGGTGCATGCGGTTGCCTTTCAGACACGACCCCATGACCCAGCGAGCCCGGGCAACCCAGGTCTCTCGACAGTGCGGGCCTCGGAAGCGCCGGTCGGCTCACTGTTGCAAATGTTGCTAGGTCTCCCAGTTTTACCCTTTTTGGGGGAGTGTTCCCCTACCTCTCTCTCCCTCTCTCTCCCTCTCTCTCCCTCTCTCTCCCTCTCTCTCCCTCTCTCTCCCTCTCTCTCCCTCTCTCTCCCTCTCTCTCCCTCTCTCTCCCTCTCTCTCCCTCTCTCTCCTAAACTAGACTACAGAAAAAAGGGTACCCTCATTCTAAGGTCTCTACTAAAAAACCTAGGTTGAAGTAAACGGCGGCGCCTGAGACGAACCCAAACGCGTGAAACTCGTGAAACGCGCTGAGCTCCGGCCTTCTCCTTCTACAAGTACCGGGAGCTCTTCTACTCGGTGCCTGCGCCTTGGAATGAACGGTCTGGTTATAGGTCCCACTTCAGAGGCTATCCGGGTCTTTTCCGATTTTTTGTTTGGGGGGGAGTAGTGGCAAGGTTTAAAAAAACATTTCGGGTGGACATTTTGAACAGGTTCTCGGAAGTTGCTTCCTCTTCTTCCTCCTTTTTTTTAAATACGTTGTAGACCTCGCAGTTTTTTCCCCAATCCTTGGGACCATCTCTTTGCCCAGGCCATTCCCGCTGTCCTTCTTCAACCTGCAGGCATGGATTGGGGCGTTTTTTAGCCGGGGCTGGCAGCGAAGTTGGTGGTTATCTCACCCCTCTCACGGAAATTGCTGCAAAGAATTGTTTGCCAAATTGCTGGTCTTTGGTCAGGATGCAGACGCTTGGCATGGCAGTTACCCTCCAAACACTAATAGGGTGTTTGATGTCCCAGGTCCGACATCGAACGTAGGTTTGCGGATTGACATTTCAGGTTGTTCCGATTCCACATAGATCCCCAGAGATTGAATTGCCTGACTCAGAACCGCTCCCCTGTCAGCTCTGGTGAAAGACTGGCCATCGGAAGCGTCCACTCGTTGACCTCCAAGAGGGTGACGTGCCTCATACCGGGATCCCTCAAGTTTCCCCGGTGAACCCAAAGTGGTACTGGACGACTGGACACCACAAGTCCAACGGGCCTGTCCCCTCATCCCGGACACGTGGTTTGCTGCCAGGGCTGCACCCCGCCCTGGAGGTGGGCGTGGTGGCGTTTTTCGGGAGCTGGCACAATGTGATATGGCTGTGGGTCAAAGCTCCTGGTGAGCATCAAAGTAGGTGGTACATGGGTGTTCATCCGCCCCAAAATGGAGGCATAGGTTATGACCCATGGCCATATCAATCTTGAAGGAACCCATGTGACGTTTGACAAGGTCTAATATCAATCTTGAAGTAACCTATGTGGGTGTGGGTCAAAAAATGGTACCCAATCTGGAACCCTGGCAAATGGAAACAAGAAAAAGACCGCCAGATGGTCCCCTGGTGGTTTAATTTTGCCCCATACCCATGTGACGTTTGCGGGACCCAAAGGATGCCTTTTGAACTATCCCCACGCAAGTCTCGATGTTGGAGATCCGGCCACCCTCGTGGCGTAGTGCCACGGATTACTTTCTGTTCCCCGCGCCCGCTTGGTCGAGCGCGGGGGAAAAGGACGTGATACGTGGGCATTTCTTATTTGGGGAGCTGCATGATTCAGATTGGATGGGATGACCTGAAATATACTATTTTAATGACATTGCTTGTCAAAGTTACACCACTTCAAGTACGCACGTGTTGCAAGCACTTGACCGCTCTGCATTCTCTCGTGCACCCTTCGGTCATTAAACAAATCTGCATTGGCCAACTGGGCTTGCTCTCGCTGAATGCAGCATGCATAGGCACATTGAGCCCCTGGCCAGCATTCGGATCAGTTTCTGTGTGTACATCACTTCAGGGGAAAGCTCATCGCATGCATGTGGAAGAGCTCTGGAAGCTAGCTGTTCATTCCCGACGAGAATCCACTGTGGTTCCCGTTGATTGCCAAAAGGCGAGTCGCTCACATGGTCTTTCTCAATGGGATTTTCCGTGGCTTAAGCACACATGCAACAGATCTCCGTTCAGAACGCGTGCGTTAAAAGAAACAAGCCCTCAGCACGTGCACTTGCCGCCAGGTTGGACGGTCAGCCGACAGACAGGTACTACTGCAAGTATCTGTCGACGACTTAAGCGACGGGGCCTGATTTGAGCGGACCGAAGCACGGACGTTTGGAGCTAAACTGGAAGCCGACCATCGGGGAGCCCAAAGCACTGGACTCGAGGTATACGACCTTCAAGTCGACCATCTGCGGCAAGATCAACGAGAAGAAGTTCGCCAGCTATATGGGGCAGGAGCAAGTCGGATGGACCCAGAAAACTTGGGTCGAACAGAAAAGGGGTTCCACTCCTTCCCCAGAAATGGGTGTGGCTCGAAATACACAGAACTGGGGTTGCACAGGTTTTAGTCTTTGGTTTTCCATTTGCCATGGCGCCATGTTGGGCTCCATGAGTTTGACCCACAGCTACATCTTGGTGCGAGGCGGCAGCCGAGGCAGTTGGGAGTCAAGGCCTTTAGGGCTCGGTGGTGTTGCCATTCGGCCGTTGGAGGCGCACTCACTTCGCAACATGTTGCGATCTTCGGCTTCGGTTTGGCGCTCAATGAGTTCAAACTTGCTTGCCATTGACACATGATTGCATGACTAGCTGGGTGGCTAAAATCCAGCTGTGAATTTATGATCTCCACCCGGAGGGTAACCTGTTTTGATTTTCTCCCATCTCAGCACCGAAGGCAAGTTGGCGAAGGAGAAGACCCGTGGCCTTGGGGCACCCGATGGCCATTTCGAGAGATCGAGATGGCCGATTTCGGCCCGAACTCAAATCGGGGGTCAGGACCTCTACTTCCCCATGGTGGACTCGGGCTGCGGGTACAACGTCTGCTTGTCAGAAGCCCAGACCCTCACCGGGGCTCATCTCCTAAACGGGCACCCGGCGGGGGGGGGGGGGGCGGGGGGAAATAAAGATATGTCCGTCCTTCCAATGTTCGTCCCCCAGTGCTTGGAAGTCTTTCCATGAGTCGCAGCTTAGTGCTTTCGTTCGCCTCAAAGGAATCCGAGATTCCGGTCACAGATTTCTGGGGCGCATTCGGGCACGGAAGTTTGGGAAGGCCCCCGTAGGAAAAGCTCTCTTGGTTGGTCATTCGACATCCTTGCTGGTGTCCCCAACGTCCGCCTGCTTCACTTTCTCCGTGGTTTGTAATCTGAATCGCCTGCACTCTTTTCCCTGTGAGACGATGGACATCAGCCACATGTTTGCTGCCCTGAACATGGCAAGGTGGAGAGCCCTGCGGTCTACAACGGTTGGTTGGCGTTCTAGCCTCATTTCTGGGTTCGCTCGATATGTTAGGGTGGATCCGACGGCGAAGTCAAAAAACAACAACACCGAATCGGGTGAAGTGAAGGCAAGGGAAGTCCCTCACCAGAGACACCCCGCCATTTCCATTTCACGAGAATTTGATCGAGTCCCGTGAAGGCGGATGGTTTTAATGATCCCTTTTTTGTAGGGAACAGAAGCCGGCTTAGTGATGTTTTTCTTATCTTATCTTTTTGTTTCTCTCTCTTTTTTCGGGGGGGGGGCTGCTTAGACTGGATACCCTCTCCAACAATCATGGAAGTTGAAGGAGGTTTTGACGCTGTTCCTTTGGGGACCCCCTTTGTCCACCTCCATTTGTTGGACTGCGGGTATGCATTCCGAGGTGCTACGCCCACTCAGATGCTTTTTACGACTCCAGCTTGGAGCTTCTTTGCAAGCGGCCCGGCGAAAGAAGCAGCACTCGCTTGCATCGCCATCGTTTGAGTCGGACCGACCCAAATTTCAATAGGAATGAGGACATGTGTGTTTTTTGTGGGCTCACATGCTTTGTCAAAAGTCTGTGTGAACTAGCGGTCAACCCCAATTTAAGCTTACACAATCATTTAGGCTGGTTTCAAGTGTCGGATCCCTCATTTGAGAGGGTGGTTGTCCATTTTGATGCTCGGGGAACTGTCCACCAGGAAGTCATATTCGCCTAGCGCGGGTGAAACAAGCATATGGCGTGTCTTTAAAGGTGTCGTTTTGAGAGTAAGCTTTTTTTGGCTGGTTTTAAAGCGGAACCAAAAGGTTTTTTTTAGGGATACCAACCTATTTCCCTTTTTGTGGCTTAGAAGGGTGTTGATTAGTAGTGGCATACCGTCATCACATATGGCTCAAGAATAAAACAGCTGCCGCCCGTGCTGAATATAGGTAGTTCTCACCTTTCAACAGGCTGTCTTGCCTCGTTGAACTCTCTTTCTTTCGCCATTGATTCTCGTTGACATTCATTGATGTGGTTCACTACGTCCTGGTAAAGTCGGCCCTTTTCTTCAACATGGCCTGCTTGTAGCTGATTGATTGTGGCGTCATGGCGTGCCGAAGCATAGGCAGCCACTTCTTCCGTACTCGGACCTGTGTTGGCCACATTCACCGTCTGACTATGTTGGTATATGTTCGGGGCACACACATGATGTTGATGAAGATGGGTCTCATTCTTCGTCATGTGTGCATGCATCTCTGGCCTTGGTTGATGTCCGGCGAGAGGTTCCCCTCCGCTTCCCATAGAATCCTCCGGAAGGACGACCGAGGTGATGGGCACAAGCGCATCGCCTTGGTCGGACTTAGGAAAACTGCTTCGGGAGCGCTGTGACGGATTGCATGGCGTTTTCCCTTCCGGATGTCCACCCTTGATCAGTTCATTGGCCACTGCTTCGTTCATTCTCGCTATCACTGGGTGGCATCCGTCGCCGCTTGACGCCATTGCGGCGCGGGTGAGAGCTGACTGTACAAGGTACCAGCGATACGGCTGATAACGGTCGGCTGATTCATCAAGGCACGCTTCTGCAAAAAGTCAACCTTGTGTCAGCCGCCTTGAGCGCACTGCAGTTGAAGCAGCCGTGGATGAATATTCCCAGCCATGACTTGCCACTCATCGCACTGAGGTCCACCATCTTCGAACTGTCCTGACCTCAGAGAGCTTTGCTACAGGCCTGGAGGAATAGTGTACATATAGTACTGTGTTCCCCAACGCTCCTCCGCAAAGCGGGGGGTGTTGATTAGTAGTGGCATACCGTCATCACATATGGCTCAAGAATAAAACAGCTGCCGCCCGTGCCGAATATAGGTAGTTCTCACCTTTCAACAAAGGGCAAAGCAAACAACCGCAACCCGGCCCTCCCCCGGAGTCGATTTCAGCCGGACACAGGAGGGCGTATCAAGATGATCCAAAACACTCCCACCCTTTGAGTGGTGACCTTCACTGAGTTTCTTCCTTTCTTATGTATCTCTTTTGGAAGAACGACAGATTAGCAGTTTCCTTTGGTTTCCCTTCAAAACCTAGCAAGAAAGGGGGGGGGTAGCCTCAAAAAAGCCCCCCATATGATGCAACCAATAATGTATACCATGGCTTTGTTTATCCCATAATAAAAGCTTTATACCAGGCTTTGTACCATGGCTTTTTACATTCGTAGTATGCCATTGATAAAAGCCTGGAATCCACCATGCCTCCCGTGACAGGAAGGACAGCGAGGAGCGCTTCATGGGCCAGTGGGGCCAGGACGCGGTTCGGAACCCCGCGTTCGCATCGGGGACAGGGATTTGGTGCACGCAGGCAGGCAGCGCTGATGGTTGCGAAATCCATGTCGCGCCACTTCGAAACGGTTTCAACCATTGTTGGTATTTATAGGGGACTCATCAGAAATCAGGGTTTCTTAGATGCAGGATGTTGTCCATCCGCAGTATTGTTAATGGACAGCCCTACCCAAGTCGGGGTCTTCTATCGACAATCTGGGGAAATTACTCATGGTTCAAAGTAAGGTATATAGAGATAGTCTTACCTCAGAGCCGCCTCGGGCCACTCCGGAGCCTATTTGAGTAAAGACCCCGTGCTTTCAGCTGTTGTGGGAGAAAGACATAAATGTATGAATACATAGATATAACGACAACAGAAATAATGAAGTAGATACATAGACTGTTATTGTTTTTTTAAAGAAAAAACAGCAACTCAATCAATCAATCAATCAATCAATCAATCAATCAACCAATCAATCAATCAACCAATGAATGCAATGCCATGCCATGCCATGCCATGCCATGCCATGCCATGCCATGCCATGCAATGCAATGCAATGCAACACAATGCAATGCAATGCGTGCAATGCAATGCAATGCAGCACAGAACAATACAATACAATACAAACCAAACCAAAACCAAACCAAAACAAAACAAACACAACACAACACAAAACACAACAAGACAAGACAAGACAAGACAAAACAAAACAACACAAAGCAACACAAAACAACACAAACCAAAACACACCAACACAAAACAAAACAAAACAACACAAACCAAAACAAATCAAACTAACACAAAACAAACCAATCAATCAATCAATCAATCAATCAATCAATCAATCAATCAATCAATCAATCAATCAATCAATCAATCAATCAAGCAAGCAAGCAAAGCAAGCAAGCAAGCAAGCAAGCAAGCAAGCAAGCAAGCAAGCAAGCAAGCAAGCAAGCAAGCAAGCAAGCAAGCAAGCAATCAATCAATCAATCAATCAATCAATCAATCAATCAATGAGTCAGTCAGTCAGTCAGTCAACCAACCAACCAACCAACCAACCAACCAATTAATCAATAATGCAACAAACTAATCAATAAAGCAACAAATAAATCAATAAAGCAATAAAACCAGGAATAAAATACATCAATGAATGAATCAATGAATCACTCAATCAATGTGTCAGTCAGTGGGTGCTGCAGTCCAAGGGCAACGGGCCAGACTAGGGGTCGTAATTACAGGTTGGGCTGCTGGCCTCCTGCCACATAGTTTAAGGGGAGTCCGGGGCAGTGCGGCGCGGGCCATGTTCAGGTTCAGTTTGAAGGGGGGTCCTGTTAAAAGCAGGTACCAGAAATCCGGGCACCTGTCTTAAACGGCACCACATCCACCGCGCGTGCCTTTTGTGCAAAAGCAATGCAATGCAAACCACCTTGCCTGAACTCACGCCTCACATATACCCTCATATACCCCCTGTAAATGCATTTTTGTTGCCGGCTTGCAAAGAAGAGATGGTTTGGTCACGGAAACCTCCGGGGACACACAACTCTGTCCATATGGTCCAGGACGAGTTCCTAGCGCGGAACGTCTTTCGGGCAGAGGAGCGGCGCGGGACAGGCGCGGGGTGAACCCGAGCCGCAGGAAATGTTTTGGAGGCACGGCCTCGGCGGCCAGGGGGCCGACATGCGTCGCAAGACTCATTAAAAAAAAAAGGGAAAAGGACCAGCTTTTGGAACCCTGACTCACTAAAAAACAAGGAAAAAGGGGGCCAACAGCGTTATTTGGCTCGGCTTTGGGAAAGTGAGTTCACTTGCGATCGGTGCGAGAGATGCAGGGAATGAGAAATGGAATGACCCCGAGAGAAACCATCCCTCGTGGTGGTTTCCTTCAAGGGAATTTGTGGGATTCCCTCATTCCCTACTGAGCACCAGCAAGGTGAGTCGCCTCAGACGTCGGGGGCAGCTCAGCGAAGCACGACGCAGGCATTTATGTGGATGTGGGATCTGCGCACCCCTACCACCTCTCCAACACCGCGTCGGCAACTTAGGCTTGCGTGCAGATTTGGAGGGTGAATTTCCATCGAGTTGATTGATTTCATGCTCGATGCCATTTCTTTGTCGCTGCATTTCTGTCGGACCCCGTTATAATGGGCGGGGGTTTCTATCCCAGGTCCTTTGCCCAAGCCAAATGGAATGCATAGGGCAGGATTGGCAGATCTGGGAACGTGACTGGCACGCCTTGCGTTTGCCATGGGATCCGAAGCGAAGTTGATTCCTTTTAAACTGAGAAAGTCATGGAGGTTGGACCCCCACCTCGGTGTCACAGAATGGGGGCTCGCCACCATGATGAGGGAACCTGTCATGCTTTAGGCAGAGACCAATAGGAAATGTATCACATGTGGAAACCGAGCAGCAGGGATTCCCTACTTTTCAGAAACACTCATCTGGGTTCGTCTGAAAGTAGGGAACCCCTTTCGGATGTAAAAGGGGCGAAACGCACCTCAAAAAAAGTTGGTCCCAAATTCCGACAACACCGGGCAAGATCCACTTCGGCCCGCGCTGTGTTTGTCTTCGATGTTTTCTCCTGGTGTTTGCGGTAGTTGCACGATTTTCAGGTGCTCATACACCTTATGCCGGGTGTTCATCCTGTTTTTTTGGAGTTCATCCAGGTTTTCCTTAGGGCGGGTGCCAACTGCTGGGAAGTGGCCGCCGGAAGGGCACTCTTTCCGCGTGCCTCTAGTACGCAAATTGAAACCTTTGAAGTGGACATCCAGCAACGCCTGTTTTCAAGAACAGGGACATCCGGCCAGATCCAGCGGTGTTGCAGCGGTCTCATTCCCCCGAAAAACGGCCAAAACCCATTTTCGGCTTAAAGGTACTTCGACATGTGCATGGGCTGGCGAGGTGTCCGGCACTCAGTGGAGCGTTCAGTCGGGCAGTGCCGTGCGAGACAACAAAAAACACGGGTAGATGAAGGGAAAGATACAGACCCAGCCGTGAATTGGTGTGGCTCGAAGTTTTCTTTGATTGTCAGCGGGTTTTTGGTGGACTCCAGTAGTGACACCCTGCGACTCTCTTTGAAAACCGCCCTGGGGGTTTTAGGTTTTGGTGCTCCACGTGAGGTGAAACATCCTGGATTCATGCCGAACAGAGGTGCTTTCCTTAGCCATGCCACGGTGGATGCCCTAAGTATTGCAAGTAAGAGAACAAGGACACCCTCTAAGTTGCTGTAGTTGTTCCTTCATTTTTGTGGTGGACGGTTGGTTTGCTTGCAACACTTTCCGTAGGCTTTGCCTGGTTCCGTAGGTTTGCTTTGCCAAGAGATGCCTTGTAGAACTTCGCATTTCTTTTCCTTAGATGGGGTAGGCCATCCACAAGATGCAAACTTGCTGGTCGAATGGGGGAAACAGACATCCCAAACAGCAAAGCGCATAATTTGTGGGATTCTGTTGCCAAGCGTGAGCGCTTGCCGCAGCAATACACACTAGCTAGTTGCCCTTGAGTCAGAAAGAGGACAAGCAGCCCTTCCTGGTTGATCCGGATAGGCGACATCTTTGAACCCACCTTTCAAAAGGGGGTCAATAGGGACCCAGAACGGGTCGAGCGCATCAGGAAAGGGTCATTCAGCCAGATCCCCTGCCGAGAACCAGCAACATCTCTTCTAGGGCAATGGAGAGACCAGCTCCAAGACTTTTGTTTTGTTTAGGGGGCCAGTCCATTTAAATCGGACACTTTCGGACTCCTTTGGTGCAGCCAGGGAATCTTCGCAACGAGCCAGCGAGGGTTTATGCACCGGAGTTTTTGCCGCCAAGGTTTTGGTTGGATTTCGAGTTCTGCGGATTCCCTGACCCTTTGGGTGTGTCTTTTTTTCACGTTGTTTTCTTTTTGTTTCAGGGGGTGCCAAAGTTCAACCGACTTTGGATGCTCCTGGCACCCCTTGAGCTATTGTTTTGGCTTGCGAGGACTCCCCTGGTAAGGTTTGCCATGAGGGGCTCATACCAGGGACTCATTGAGGTTTAAGACCCTTTTGGGTAACTGAGCTGTTCAACGGGGAATGGTTGTTTTCGTTCATGGGGTTGGCTGGTCGACTATTGCCGAGGGTTTAGTTTTCGAGATAAAGTCTCACTCTCACTTTGAGTTTGCTTGTTTATTCATATAGCCTTTGATTTTCACTGTAGAGTGTAAAAAGGGCATGAGGCTCAGCCCCCACTCGCCAAGCTGCCAAACAATAGTGTCCACTCACCACCCCAGGTGTTTTTGGAATGCCCCAAACCCAGAGACAGGGATGCCATGGGACTAGCACCCAGTTTGACCCCCTCAAAAATGGATGGGCTCAAAATTCCTTGGCTTAAATCCCTTGGATTTCTACTTTGATTTCCCTAAATGGGATTTCCGCAAATGGGATTCCCCACATGGGTGTGGGTCAAAATTAAACCACCAATGAGGAAATCCACATTGTGGTCCCTAGGATTTCCCCCCACCCAAAATGGCAACCCTTGTCAGATTTGGGGCTCAAGCCCCGAGACCTTCCCCCGAGCTCGGGGGCTCGGGCCTCACGGGGGCCGAGACCTGTCCGGCAGAGGGAGGCCGATTCCCAAGGTGTGCTTGGAGCCGAACCCCCGACTCAAGCACATCATCCGCGGTGTGAGGACCGGTGCCGAGTTCGCATCGAGTGGCGTGTGCATCCCTTCGTTCCTTTGCTTACTGCGTTCCGTCTTTGTGTTTGTCTGTCTGTTTGTCTGTTTGTCTGTTTGTTTTTTTGTTTGTTTGTTTGTTTGTTTGTTTCTTTCTTTCTTTCTTTGTTTGTTTCTTTGTTTATTTGTTTCGGTGTCTATTTCGGTCTTTCTTCGTTTGTTTTGCCTGCTTGTATGTCTGTCCGTCCGTGCGTCCGTCCGTTTGTCTGTTTGTTTCTTTCTTTTTTTTATATTTCTTTCTTTCTTTTTCTTTTTGCTTT